TCCTTCTTGAGGACCTGGTTGAACAAAGCACTGTGGAGAGCCACCTCAACATCACCTTCCTAAAACTCTACCAGGTAGACACTAACATTAATGTATTGTTGAGAAAAAATAAAACAGACCATTTTAGTATGCTTTTTAAACTAGTTAGCACCTAGTCTGTAGAACACAGGTAGGCCAAGGTAGTGTTAGGAGTCTTGCCCAAGGGCTCTTAATGGTATAGTGTAGAGTCCTTGCCCAGGCAGGGTCTACAGCATAGAAGGCAGTGATGTTACTACACTACACTATACCACTCTTTTTACCAGTTAAAAGATGGGTGGAGCTGGAAAGCTCATTTACATGCTCTCATTTCTACAACGCTTTGTGATTAATAATTGACTCAGTCGTACTTCATAGTTCATGCGTGCATTAGTTTTTAGAAATCATATGCACGCAAATTATATGATACAATACAGTGCAATAAGACGTTGATGTAATGATTTCGTGAGGCATTCAACTCTTCAGACATCTGGTTCCCATCACCACCACTGTGAACAATTGCTCCTTAAGTATTTGTAATAAGTCTTACATCTGTTGTTAGTCATAGCATTTACAGGATAAAGTAATGGAGATATTAAATATTTATGTTTGATGAACTGGAGAGGTCTCACATTAGGTTAAATTTAACATCATGACATAGCTCAGTACAGCTATAGTCATCACTAAAGAACTGGTGTTACATGTGCTGGCTGATTTGTTTTTAGAGGTGTTGCAATTACCTCAGTGAATACATATTTGTGTATGTCTTCTTCCGAGTTGTGAACAGCAACCAGACATCGTAATTATGTCTGGTGACACACTGTTTGTCAGAGGGAAAAATAGAAACATCACAATGTTCTCCGAAGGAGGCCGCATGTCTTTTGGTCTGGAGCGTGCCCCTGAGGGGAGGTTTATAAAATGTGCCTCCTCTGCAGTTTGTATTTGCAGAGCATCATGCACTTTGTTGTTTCCCTGAGACTTGGAAGCATGCTAACTGGTGATAACAGCAGAACAAAACTGCTATATGCCCGCCTCTGCTGAACAGGCTGGCTTATCTGCGCTAGCAGGTTTTCTGGACTGTGTGCATTTCCCTGCGGTCCTGCGAATTCCAGGATACAAATAGGACTTCCAGCAACAGCAAGCTACTCATTTCTTTTAGAATGCATCCAGAAAAAGCCCTGTTCATGATGGTGCACATAGATCCAGGCCAAAATCCTCATATTAACCATTGTTTTAACCCCTTTAATCCTCAAAGCTGTCAATGAAGAATGCAAACTGAATGTATTTCAATGTATTGAAATGTATTTCAGTGTAACTCACAATGTAATAAATTTATAGCTATGTACACATTTGAATGTTTGGAAACAAATAGTTGTTTAAATTCTTAAAGACGTGTTGATCTAAAGACATCTGCTTAGAAGTGTAAAATTATGTATATGACTTCATATGCAAAACAAATTAGTTTTCATTTAAAGTTGGAACCACAATTATTATATCGTTGACATACGAAAACCTCGCATTTTTCACTTTTCTACATAATTTGAAACCTCCATTTACCTTTTGCACTGTGTTCACATTTCACAATGACCGGACCAACAGAAATGGTCAAAAATGACTTAAAAAATCATGTTACATTAATGTCTGTTACAAGTTAAGAACGTTTTGCCTTCTCCTGTAAAGGTACCACTTTGGAGTTACGAGGTTTTGTTCCAACTGTGACAATATTATCCTAGTAGAACATCCTTCCTTGTGAATGCATGTCAGCCAATCAGCTGTGTTGTGACAAAGACTGGTGGGGTTTAAATCTCTCTATTTGAACTATCTCAAAGTCTTCATCAATACATTTTGCATTAGGCTGTGGAGCAGTGAAACTGCATTCTCTGTAACTTTTAGTGTAACAGATTATTCTTGTTTGTCTATTCTTCGTCTACTAGAAGGTTCTTCTTGTCTGGTGGAAGGATAGACAAACACCTGTGGATTTTACAGATCTGAATCAACAGTGGAGCTTGATTTTCTCCTCTCTCTAAAAGATGAAAGCTTTAACTGCATTTTATTTGATGGGGACAGTTTTGGTGGTCTACCAGGTCTTGGACAGTTGAATGAGTCCCATTTCCACTGCTTCTAATAACTTTTTGAACTCCACTTTCCTGTTTGTTCATCTTTTGACTTTCCTCTTCTTCCCTCTTCTTCTTCCCCTTCTTAATGCAAGTGGAATATCTTATATAAATAAAATAACTTTTGCACAGCTTATATAGAAAAAATGATAGGAATAAATTATATAGCAGAGGTTTATGCACAAACCTTCACTTTATGAGTAGCCTGAGTACCACTGCTATGATAATGATTTGTTTAATCGAGTAATTGTTCTTAATCAATTAACCGTGATAGCTAGAAACACAACTATTGCAAAAAGTGAGTAAAACGAAAGACAGTTAATGTGTTGATGGGATAAATCTCAGCGGAACCAATGTATCTGAATCAATTATATTCAAACCAATAAAGCTCCTGTCGTCCATCAAGGACTCAATTAGTCGTTGTTTCAGCCACATGCAGAGAACATGTGGCTCTACTTCTGGAATATTTATCATTTAGCGTGCGGCAGTCAGCCATAAGCCGACTGCTCACACAGAGCGCGATGATTTATATGCAGAAGGCATCCGCAGCAAAACTAGATCATTGAAATGTGCCCTGTCTGCAGTGTGCCCAGTAATACGAATTCATTATTTAATGCATTTTGGAGGTTTTGGCAGGGAGTAATAAGCCTACCTAAGGCGGTTTCCATAGCAACCCATCCCCGTTCTCCAGAGACCTGCTTCAATATGATGTGACTATAATCTAACCATGAGGGAGGCTTCATGTCCTCAGAATGTTTGCAAACACTCGTTTGTCGCAAGAAAAGCTGCACTAATCCCAACAGGCTAATTTCAAGCATGATAGACTGCATTTCCTAGACATTACACAATGGAACTCTACAAAAGGAGCCTCATTATTTTGAATCCTTTTTTCATGTAACGTCAGCATAGCGAGTGCATGAAGCAGATGTGGAGAAATGCCCGAATGTGAATAAACAACAACGGTCAATGGGGTAATTAAGGTAATTAGCTCTAGTCCTTAAGGATAATTAAAGTCCTTTGTTCAGGTTGTGTGAGGCTAAACTACTTGGTATGGGATAATTTACTTTAGGTTCAAATCAGGAAATACTGCAAAAGCAAGAGTTGCACTTCTGACTGTTTGTTCATATACCTGTTGTTCTGAGATGGAGGTCTGGCAGTGGCCCTTTCTTCTTTGTATTAGGGCCCTGACTGATATATTGGTTGACCAATAATATTGGCTGATATTGAAAACCCCATGTTTTATCTGCAAAAATGTTATAACAGTTTGCAACTGTTTTGGCCAGGATTCCAACTTATCATCTTCTGACGATAGGCAAAAACCTTGGACAGTTGTTTTTTTGGGAATTCCAATATTCCTTTAACTTTTAGACAGCAGTATAGGTTTGCCAATTACACTCTCATTTGCTGTCTGCATTTCCGTGCACCATTATGAAGGGAAATAAACTTGTTTATCAGGTTAAATGCTAGCGAGTCAACAGCTGCATACTGTGACAGCAAGTAACTTTGAAGCAAGATATAATCATTAGATTGAGAAAAGTTCGCAAACTTCACAGCAAACCAACTAAGTTATTAAAAGTTTTGCAGAATTCAAGCCACTTTGTTTCTCGTGGGTCTGTTTTGTTGTACCATTTTTGTTGCACCATTTTGTTGCAGTTTCCTTTCAAAACAGGCAGTTCTTAATCATTATGAGCAGAGATAGTAAGTTACGTTTGTTACACAACTGGCAAGTGATTCAGACACTTATGTTTTCTGGCCTAACAAAGTATATTTAGTTTCGTGTTTAGCATAAAAAATGCTGTCTTGAGCCTCTTCATTACTAAAATCAGACAATGTTCTGGCTCAACATCAGTAAACAAGGTCGACTGGTGGATTTAAGAGTTCACTAGTAGTCTAGTCTGTGAAACCTCTAATATATCAACAAAAAGCAGGTAGAGTTAGTATACGATTGGGGAACAGCAATAGATATATTCTGTTTATGAGGTTATTTAGCTTGAGAATTCACCTGAGAATTAGCGTGAGAATATAAAACACACAAAAAAAACGTTTTAAATTAAGAGAACTAATGCAAAACACACAAACATCTTCTAAGCCGCTTATCCTTCTGGGTCGCGGGGGGAGCTGAAGCCTATCCCAGCAGTCATTGGGTGGAAGACAGGATACACCCTGGACAGGTCACCAGTCCATCGCAGGGCAGACAGACAGACATACACATTCACACACACATTCACACCTAGGGGCAATTTAGCATGTCCAATTAGCCTGACTGCATGTCTTTGGACTGTGGGAGGAAACCGGAGAACCCGGAGGAAACCCACATAGACACGGGGAGAACATGCAAACTCCACATAGAAAGGACCCTGGTACTAATGCAAAAAAATTAGAGGTAATAGAAACCAAAAGCTGAAAAGAATTCTGAGTAGCTCCAACCCCAGTGCTACAGTATTTATATTATTTAAGACTAAGTTTCTGTTATCTGAGTCTAAGAAATGTGACAGTGGAGACTTGAGAGTTGTCATTAAAGCACAGTTTAACTAAAATTATTGGAGAACAACTGAAATCTAAAATTGTATCGGTCAGTATTATCGGTCAGCAGAAGTTATAGCCCCCTAAAATTGCTGTCAGCATTAGCCACAAAATGTGTATTATTCACACCCTACTTTATATATGTATAGCTCAATGATAACTTTTTTGGTATGAAAACAAAAAATGTTTTTTTTTGTTTTTTTTACACTGGTATGGTATGTACGTTTGTTTTTTTCACTGAACTAGAGGGCTGTTAGGTTCTTGTGGATGTTCTGAAGGAAGTTATGTTATGAACATTACATTCCATCTACATGTGTTTTTAATCTATATCATTTTTGTCTGTTTTAGGTTGTTGTATTCAGTGCTACCACCTTCTGTGGCGAATGAACTGAGACACAAACGGCCTGTGCCAGCCAAGCGCTATGACAACGTGACCATCCTCTTCAGCGGCATTGTTGGATTCAATGCCTTCTGCAGTAAGCACGCATCAGCAGAGGGAGCCATAAAGATTGTCAACCTTCTCAATGACATCTACACCAAGTTTGACATCCTTACCGACTCCCGCAAGAACCCTTACGTGTACAAGGTAAGGAATGGCCAATGTAGCAGTTCAACTTTAGCCATGTCACTCACTAAATGCTAAACTTATGGGTCTTAATTTTATAAAGTACAACAACATAAAACCCTAATAATGGATATTTTTTGAAATTTTATCACTGACATAAGTAAACCTTGAAAATTCCAGCTGACTCTTAACATTGTGCGACCATTTAAAGATAAATATTAATATTCTAAATACCAGAAGTTGCAAGACTATTTATTTATACTAATCAGATGATTATCCAAAAAAGGAGTCAACTAGTTGAACTAGTTCTGAGGCTAGATGACCACAGATATTGGAATATTGCTGTCTGCATTTCCATGTACTGGTTTTTATCAGTTTGATTTTGAAACTTTTGTTTAATAGGGTAAATGCTAGCTTCTCACCAGTTACCATACTATGTCAACAATGAACAATCTAAAGCAAGTTCACAGCAAACGCCGTAGAAAGTTCTGTAGAATTCTAGCCACCATATACTACTGTTTTTCACAGGTTCTGCTTTTGTTGCAATGTTCTGATGGCCCTTTTCTTTCAAAGTAGGCAGTTCTCAATCAATCTGAGCTTCAAAACCTACCAGTGTCTCTGACAGTGGAGACAGTGAGATGTACATTTCAGCATAGTCTTACACTTCTTGCAAGTGAAACTGATTTAGCTTCTTACGTAGTTTTTCTGGCATAACAAAGTATGTTTGGTCTTGTGTTTAGCAGAAAAAAATGCTTTCCAGGTACTTCATACTAAAATCAGGCACTGTTTCGGCTAATTGACAGCAGGCCAAAGGCCGACTCGTGGATATAAGAGTTGACTAGTTATCTTTTCTATGCAACCTCTAGTACATAACCAATAATGTATGCAGTGGGAGCACAGCAATTGATTAGTTTTATTTTGTTTATGAGGTTGATTCATTTTTAGCACATTGCAGCGACTGCTGTAGATACCATGTACTTTCCAGAAAACAAGGGTACAGCAGGATGGCCTCCGTGATTTACGCGCCAGGCTTTCAGACAGGAATGCACTTTAAGAAGCTGAGCTATTCGACCTAAATGGGAGGCTAGAATTTCAAGGCTGGCTCACCAAAAAAAGCAATATTTACTCTAGACCATCTGTGTCTAGGTGGTCCTGAGATTTTTACTGTCTCTCGAGGGAAGGGGCTCTCAAAGATGTGTGTGTTTAAGCATATGTCAAGGGGTATTTGGTTGTATTGAGCAAAAGACGACACGCTGGGGTTGACTGTCAGAGATTACACTGAGAACGTAATGTGTGGCCTGTTGGGCCATCGCTAATGTAATAGTTGTTGCTTTCATTCATTTTTGTTACAAGTCCATAAAATTGATTTGTTTTGACATCGCAATATTAAGGCAGTAGTTTAGGGGAAAACGTGTGATTTATACAGTTATGTCCATACCCCAAATGTATTCAATCAGTCAAGCCAAAATAGTATAGATACACAGCATGGCTAAACACAGTAGCAAAGTATGAATTTAGTCTATATCTGAAGAAACAATATGTTGGTTAATGTCAGAAACCACATAAGCACATCTGTTTGAGAATTTTTAACAAACCTAGCATGGTTTGAGGCAAGAATGTGATGATTTAGACTTGCAATTTGTAGGATGCTAAGATAATGTGCATACGCTTCCATTACTTGGAGCTACATTGACTTTGGATAAGGACAAAATCATTTTGATTTTTTGCTGATCTGTCACTTTAAAATCTTTCTCTGGCAGGTAGAGACTGTTGGTGATAAGTACATGACAGTAAGTGGCCTTCCAGAACCGTGCACCCACCACGCCCAGTCCATCTGCCACCTGGCCCTGGATATGATGGAGATCGCTGGGCAAGTGAAAGTGGATGAGGAACCTGTTCAGGTAACAGCGATAGAGATGAGTCTACATTCAGAAAGGAGATAGAGGGAGGCATGTTTTCTGCCATTTGTCCTCATACATCAACCCTCATAAGTTGTAGTTACAGCCAACCATAACAAACAAGAAACATGAAAGTGCATATTCTAAGCTTTCTGTTATATTTGTAAGTGAAAGAGAATATCTAAATATGATTCAAATGTGATGAAAGGTTATTGTATGTACATTCTTGTTTTGTGGAAAGATTAACCATTTTAGTCGTGCTTTTGTCATTGACATTAGAACTAATGTATAAACAACGGACATGAGTAATGGCTCGAACCAACTGATACAGAACCTAAATGCAATTCATTACATAATTGACTGTAAAATTAGGTAATGTTATGATTACATTTATGTAGTACAGCAAAACAAGAATAATAGCTAGACATCGAAGGTTAACTGGAATGTGCATGTAAAAAGCAGGAATTTTAATGTTCATTTAGTAAACTGAACAGATAAACAATTTTCTCCACAAGCACTCCAGTAGCTTTTGTGCACATCATTGAAAGGGAAGAAACTGGCAATGAAACTATCAGCTGGATCTCACGAATGCAGGAATGTTTGCAGTTGAAAATGTCAAAACGGGAGGTTGTTTATTACCTAGAGAAGATGTGTTGCTCAATGTTAATTAATATGTGAATTTTAATTGAATCAGTTACTTCTAATTACATGGAATAAGCATAGCAAAGGCAGTAAATGCCATAGCTTCTGAATCCGAAGATGTCTTTGAACTGGTAGCTGTACACATTAGTGACTGACTTACTTTTTTCAGCAGGTCAACAATAAAATCCCAAAATGTTGCTGGCTTTATGACATTACAGCCCTAAACTAAACAACTTTTGGGTAGTGTGTACTTTGCATAGTCGTTAGTTTTCTAGTTTTCAGTGCTCTGTGTCTTTCAGTTCTGCTCACCATTCAAACTACACGATGGACTACACGTACTATAAACACTAGGCCTGTTACAATTATTACATAATCCCCTGATAACAGTTATTTTAGCTAATTGCAGTTATTTTTCACAGTTGTTAATCAATTGATTAATTTAATTGAGTTCAATTGGGTGTATATAAATAAAAGAAGGCAGAAAATGCTTTTATTCAGACACTAACTTGTGACTTGACGCTGTACCACCTGTAGAGGACCGCAGTGAGTAATACTTGATTAATGGTTGTTCATTTTATCTTGAGCTGTTTCTGTGGTCGGTTGGGAGCTACTAAGTATCAACAGCAACGGTGCAACATAGCTAATCAGCCAGTGAGCTTACTTTAGGCTTCTGCTTTAACAGTTGCATACAGTAAACCAAAAAAAGACAAACTGTTATTTACAATTATTTATATGACAGTTAATCATCAGTTGTTAAGGTATCTTTGGTGCAACACTTTATGACTTTAGGGTAATAAAGTATTTAGAGGGTCTCTGGACATGGGCTTCAACCACATTACAGCTTAATCTGAAAGTAAAAAAAAGCATCCCTGCTTTTGAGATTAATATTTCATACACCTTAAAGTCCAATGTTTTTTGTTTCTAGTTTTTTAAATTATGGGCGTGTTTTCTTGTATCTGCATCTGTATCTTGTATCTGTATAATATATAAAATTATATCTGATTCCACAGCGTACAGAATGAGACAGCAAAATTGCTTTTAGAAACTCATTAATTGCTAATACAGCAGTGCAATACTGTCTCAGAGTAGTGCTATTATTACTGTTATTAAAAGTTTCAGATGATGTAAAATATTACAAACAGAACATTTGTAATCTTTTAAGTCATCTGAAACCTTTACTGCATTTCTAAACAAACACTTTCCACTTTACTCTCTCTTAGGTGCCAGAATACTAGCTATAATAAAATAGTTAAATAATTATTTTATACTAAACATTTTTTATGAATATGTTAAAGGACCCATATCCTACATTTTTCATGTATGGTTCACTTGTGATGTTTTTTCTGGTTTAATGTACCACAAACAGTCACGATTCGTTTTTTTGACCATTTCCAACCTCTCTCAATCCCTTAAAATGAAACAAAAAAGGTGGCGCTAAACTGCCGTAGGCTGAATAGGTGTATGTATGTAAATGTCTTGGTTTTTGTCACATCACAAAAACACTGAATTTAAAATGGACCATTTTTGCAGCCTAGTTTTCATACATGGGCTGTATAGACTGAATGAATAGTGTGCTTTGAATTCTTAACAATGTTTACATACTGCATCAAACTTTCATTAAAAAAAAATTACATTTCACAAAGAACACTGTTTTGAAATATAAAAAAATAAACAAAAATGTTTTGAGGAAATGCAGTCTATTCCCTTAAAGTGGTTGAAGTACATATGAGTAAGACAGATGATGTGATAGCCCTGCATAGTCATGCTTTGAAAGAGAAAAGAACTGTGTTTTACAATATTGTATATAATGTTCACAAAGTATATAATGATAAAAGATTTACTTAAAGGTAAACATTTTGTGCCTTGTGCCGGTTATTCTCATACATGCAATATAAAAACATCAATTCTATATACTAAGTGTCAAAATGGCACAGACAGATGGATATAATAAATTTACTGAATTAATTACTTTTTTCCCCCTCATGTCACCTGATGTGTGGGTTTACAGCTGTATGGAAAAGTTTGAGCACCCTGGGCAAATGACATGTTTTGTTTTCTGAGGTAAAATAAATCCACAGGGAGCAGACATAAATCTGACATTTTCTGCAAAATATCAAAATTTATTTGTTGAGATTAACATATTAGGAAAAAAAATAAAAACATAAAATGTGCCATAACACTTGCACAGGTTACATTTTATATATTTAATTTCCCCCCCAAATTGTTAAATTTGGGGAAAAAACAACAACAGTAATTGTGTATTAAAATACGCAGAAATGTGGTCTGTGAACTGTTAACGTAGAAAATCAGTCAGCTGACCAGGGGCAGTATGCAAACTTTTGTGTGCCCAAATCATTCAAATGAGCTATATGCAAATGAGTTCTTTTCTGATTGGATGCCCTGTGTTGTGCCTCAATCAAAAGCAGTCCAGGCTGAAACACCTTTCATAACTTTAGTGTGAATGGGCAGAGATCAGCTGCTGTGGGCTAAATAAGTAGGCATATGTAAATGTCTTGGTTTTATGACATCACAATAACAGTGAATTTAAAATGGGTTTTGCAGCTTAATTTCCATGTGTAATTTTTTAAATGACTGTATATACCAAAGACAGCCATAATTCATCTCTACATGACTATTTTTCAACCTCTCTTTATCTCTTAGAATTAAACAGGCTGCTTTTGTGCCTTTAAGACTGACATGTCAATGAGCTCTGTACTGATTGGCTGTGCTGTACTGTGCCTTATTCATAGCGCAGTCCAGGCTGAAGCACTTCTCATAAATACCTTCAGTGTAAAGTGGACAGAACAGGTGAATGTGCAGTACGTAGATGCGTTCCTTTTGTGACATCACAAAAATAAATAATTCAAAACAGGACATTTTTGCAGCTCAGTTTCTATATATGGACTCTGTATGATTTGAAAATGTCACAGTTAATATCTTTTCCTTGATTGGTTTTCTGTTATATGGGCTCTTTTGATGAAGCACGTAAGTGTACAGGTGTATTCATTAAGATACGAAAAGCAAAAACTTACAGAGATGCTTTATAAAAAAAAACAACCCTGGATCTTATATAAGCCTCTTTATGGGTTGCCAGTACTGGTCAGCATGACTGGCTGTTGCTATGTCAGAGGGTTGAGTACCATTGGATGTTGATGACACACCGGTCAGTTGAATAATTGGGTGGCATCACAGAGAACAGGCGAGTTATTTATCCAATCTGTCATGCGTCTGTCTCTCTCTCTGTGTCTGTACCCCACTCCCTCTTTTTGCTCTCTCTCTCCTGAAATGTTGCACGTCCCCAGCTGGTTGAGAATGACAAGCGGAGCTGTCGGAGGTGCCCTGCCAACACCCACTCTGCTTATGTCACACTCTCTAGACCTACATAACCAAATATCAGGCAAATTCAGGTCAAACATGAGCCCTTTTATGAATTGAAACCCAATAAGCAAAGTTTATGTCTTTTAGTATCTTGCATATTAGTATAATAACATTACAGCTTAGACCCCTTACGAAGGTATAATCATAATCATAACAATTATGATGGGGAATCCATAAAGGCTGCAGCTTTCTGTGTGTAAATGACATCCATCAGTCCGCTACCTTTACCTAGCGAATCCACGTGCGCTGGGCATTCTAAAAATACCCGCCGTGCACTTTTGAGAAGTGGCTGGAGCGAGCTGCTATAAACGTGAGCCTCCGCAGTGCATCCTTTGTTTAAAGCGACGTCTCGGGTTTGTTATTGTATCTGTGACTCTTGCAGGGGTGGTGTTGGAAAACTGCACTGTCAAACGAAGGCGCTCCTATTTATTGGGGCCCGGTTGGCACAAACAGATAGGCACATACATAAACACACTTTCTCTCTTGCTCTGGCACACATACGCGCACAGACTCGCACAGGCACATGCGAACGGAGGCAAAAAAAAAAAACAAAAAAATCAGCCTCCCTGAAAATCATCAGTCTGTTTAAAAATAAACCCACATTAACTCTGTCCCAAACGTTTCAAGCTGTGCCCACTTCAGAGCTCACCGAGTAAAGAGACATTTCGAACAGGATTCTGTTCTGTGCTCGATGGTTGTGTTTATTTTCCATACACGGGCTAATAATGCCAAGGGTGATACACAGTCCAGTACATGGATTGTATATATAGGGACCATTCTACTGAATTAGTTCAAACTGCAGTCCCACAGTAAAAACCTTCAGACCTTAGATATTTACAAGGATAATGTTACCTGAATTGAGATAGTAAAAGCTAAATTTTATAGGGTAAAATTTAGCTTAAATTCCCCTAAATTCAAACTTGTGAAAATAACACTAAATTTTTACCTGTCACTACCGAAACACAGGGTTTAGTGCATAGGTGAAACCTTATTTTAGCCACACCCCTGCATTTTAGAGCAGGAAGTGAGACTGCATACCTGTCCCAGATGGCCACATGATGAGCAGTTAGATCTTATTGTTTTCAAGTAAATGTGTCCCAAAGTCTGAAAATCATTGTGCAACATACTGAAAGACATTTTCTGCAATTAAGTACACTTTTTTGTGTTTTAATGAAAAATACAGGGTGATTCAAAAAGATTAACCAGATTTTAAAATGATTGTTTTCACTTGTAAATCATTACAGAACAATGCAGTAACCTATAAATGACCCCCTCTTTCAATTGATATGCGATTGGTTCTTAGGCGCCTCACAGTTGTGAAATATGGTGCTTTGAAATCAGATGAATTGTACAACTGTTAAAAGGCGTTTGCTCAAAATAAGCTGAAATCTTCACTAATGAAACAGTCACTATCGAAACATTTGCTCAAGTTTCAGTAGTGTTATGGTTGTTTTTGTAGTGACAAAATGGAACGTTTAATCATTTATTTTAATAAAATAAACATACTACATTTTCTAACAATAAAATTAAGTTATAGCGTCACTCAAAACAGAAGGATTTCAGTCAAGGTTCAAGTCAGTTAAAAGTCCGAAATGTGTTTTCAACTGGCTAGGAACCTATTCGGTAGAATGATCCATAAACAGAGGGGGAGAAAGTAAAGGAAAAACTTGAAGGAATGAGAGGGAAAACAAAACAAGGGCAGAAGATTGCAGACAGGTGTACAGCATGATACAATTAACCAACATCCTAACTTGCTCTGTAGCATGTATACAAATGCTGAGCAGTTCACCTTGATTTTGGATCATGATGGAAAAAGAGAAAATATAAGTGATGCAGTGTTTCAGTAGTAACAATGACTAAAAGAAAGACAGAAGAGCAGCTGTTCATCAGGTGACTTAGGACATCACTACAGGACATGATTAGACTGTCAGCCGGGATATTATAGTAATGCTGCAGTGTGTAAACCCCTCATTACAAATGGTTTAAAAGCAGGCCTGGTCCATAGAAAATTAGAAAACAGTGCTATTATGCTATATACACACACACACACACACACACACACACACACAAACTAAAAAGAAAAAACAACATAAACTGTCTTAGTGAGGTGCTGGGCCACTACAAAACACCAGAATGCACTTTGGCCTAGATTTTACTGGGGGGAGGGAACAACATTCTTCAAAAAAATATTTCCTTAGTAGTTTTGATGATGGTAGTGAAGAGCTCTACCCAACACACTAGTACAAAATCTCCCACAGATGTTGTGTTGAGGTCTGGGGGCTGAAGGCCATAGTGGTTAATTGACACTGCTTTCAGGCTCATCAAACCATTCGGCAACCCTTCCTGCCCTGTGGATTATTTTTGACTAAAATAAATTACATTGGCCAGATTATGTGAGTGCTTTGATTCATTCAGGATTGGTTGGATTGTGTTCACCTAATGCATGATGGGTGTTGTAGTGACAGAATTTTCTTGAGTGAAAACACAAAGAAAAATAAAATCTGACTGTGAATTCCATCAAACCGATAAGGGGAACAATGCTACACCACATAATTCAGCACAGCATTGCAAATAACATGTTAAAGTTTAATATTATTATTCTTTTGTGAAATTGTTGTGAAAAACTGTACAGGGAAATTAGCAGCATTTTCATGTCACTGTTTTTGATTATGCTTGCCTTTTATTTCTTTAGATCACTATCGGGATCCACACTGGAGAGGTCGTGACAGGGGTCATAGGTCAAAGGATGCCCCGCTACTGCCTGTTTGGCAACACGGTCAACCTGACGAGCCGCACTGAGACCACAGGAGAGAAAGGGAAGATAAACGTGTCTGAATACACCTACAGGTGAGCAGCCGCGTCACTGTTAGCCACCACAGAATTCACTAATTCAAGAAAAGAGAAAGATAAAGAATGAAAGGTTGTAGAGCCAGTTAGCATTATACTGTGATAACTGCCAAAACTAGCTTTGATTTATTGCTGTCTGCATTTCTTTTTATTTCTGTTTATTTCCACTTTTTGTCCCATAATCTAAATGTAGTCAATCAACCAAGACATGTTTGGTGTCTTAAGTTTGCTTTTTTAGTTTTGCACTGGTGCTATGAGGCTAATGTTACTAACAGGTAATGGAAGCTTATGAGTCATTCCACAAATGGACATAATTTGAATGTCAAGAAATCATTTTTTTGTCCTCCAGTTTTAATTACACATTGTACTTGCCAGTGGCAAATCATGACTATTAGAGCTAGACCTTCAATTTGAGCCATAAATGTCCAAATTGGTGTCAAAAAACCTCTGCAGTAATGCTAATTTTAGGATTCTAGTAGTTTGTTAGCGTTAAAGTAATGGTCATTTATATGAAGAATATTTTGGCCATTTAAGTTTAAACCCAGACATTTGAAGCTTCTAAAAGACATTCTTTGTTTTACTCAAAGTTTGTGACAGCCATATTAACATATTTTACCTTGTAGCAGTTTCAGAGTGACTAGAAAAGCCAACAGCCCACTTGTCAGTGATGTATCTAGAACTTCCAGAAGGTCCAGAGTGATGCGTTTTCTCAATAATTTGGTCCAGCCCCCTGGAAATAAAAATGTTATCGGTCGGGTCCTTTGTCACTTTGTAATTATGCTAATAGTTAATCTAGCGTATAAAGCCTTCTCTTCAGCTCTTGCTTAGCTGTATCTAGCTAGATTCCAATGGAGAACAAAACAGTTCCTGACTGACCAATTTTTTGCTTTGAAGAATGTAACCCTTTTGTTTCCATCCAAAACCCAACAATAAAACAAGAATAGTACAAATACTGTAATACTTGCAGAAATTAAATACAAGCATGATTCAACTGAATAAAAATGAATAAAAATTATAAAATTATAGATGTGATTGTTTTGTTGTTAGCACTATTTGATGTGGTCATTAAATACAATTATTGATTCTGTCTTAGGTGCTTGCAGTCAGTAGAAAATGCTGACCCTCAGTTTCATCTGGCGTACAGAGGACCCGTCACCATGAAGGGCAAAAAGGAACCGATGAAAGTGTGGTTCCTCTCCCGGAAAACTCCGTAGACCAGCACGGGTCCACAAGGGGGCACCATTTTCACTCTCTTTTTCCACAATTTGTCTATTGAAGCTGTTTGTTACAGTAACTAATTTACAGCTAACAGTTACACTGAAATATGAGCAATCCTTCTTAATTTAGCAGGAAAGATCATGCTCCTATATGTACCTCTTTTTACAGTATTGTCATTTATAGCAGCTACCAGTTTTATAATGCTATGTGTCTTTAGTTAAAGCTATTACAGGTGTCCTAGCCATTATTATTATTATTATTATTATTATTATTATTATTTTCAGATTGAAGGGGCCAAAGCTAACAGTATGTCAGCAAACGTCCTTATTTTTCTTATATTCGTTTTTGTTTTGCAATAGATATGTATGTTATTGTATTTTGACATTTAAAACATTTTAAATATAATATCAGTACTTGAAAGAGAAGCTAAGGTAAAGAAAGAAAGAAAAACACTAATATGAAAGTGTTCTCAAAAGGTTATTATATTCATGGCTATATTTCTAAGAAAGCAAAACCAGAAGGAATACACAAGTAAAAAACCTCCATTTTTTTAAGAGAAGAATTTTGTCAGAGGATGTAGAGCATGAAATGCAGTGTGTCTAGAACAGCGCAGACAAAAGCTTTTTACAGAACAACCTTTGACCTCAGTTAACTCCTGTTATCATATACAGTTATTTAAACCCATATTTTAAATTATAATCACTACATAAACAAAGCAACACTGTTCTATAAGTAGGCAAGTTAGTAGTTGAGATTGATACATATTTATAGTATTTTAATGAATCTGCACATAATATATAGAAACCTACACTCACTTTTTTCTTCAGTATTTAAGCTGCTCACATTCATACAAGAAACATTTGTTTCTTATGCTCTAAGAGAAAATACTGCAACAGTGAAATTGTAATTCTGTGCTGTGATAGAACTGAGAAAGTCTTTTTCTATTACTTAATGTGCTGTATGTAGAATAGGGTTAGATTGGCACCTTAACTTGTTTGCACATTTTATACTGTTTACTTGCACCATATGTTACAAGGTCTGTATAAAATAAACATTTAAAAAAGAATATGACTAAGTTTTAAATCTGACTTATTATGTGCCACCTGGTCCTTCATATTTTTCCCACCCATTTTCCAACAAGTCCCACCCTGTATGCGAGGATTGGCAGGATCTTAACCAATAACAGCACAGGTGGCCAATCACAGTGCAAGATGTGGGAAAACGTGAGAAAAAAATAACGTGTGTTCTGTATCACTTTTAGAGCAGCAACTTTAAGCTGATATCTTGGAAGCTGACATTTCAGCAAGAACAAGTAAAAAAGAATTAGGGGTGGGCAATAAATAATTGTTGCTTCCCCCACCCTTTGAAGGCATCTAATTCCCTAAATTTAACTAAGCTAAACTAAAGGGTGGTTGCTGAACTTTACCCTCCTCTGCTATCACTGCAGACTGGCAGGGTCGCCTACAGAGCACCACTAGTAGCCTGTTAATGAAGTCATGTTCTTTATTTGGGGGTTGTTCTATTTCGTAAGGGAAGATTTCAACCACTACCGTTGTAACTCAGTTCCAAGGGGTGACATAAAAATAAGAAACAGGGCTGGGCCTTAGTCTCTGTTCAAAACAATTGATGTAATTAGACTGGAATCCAAAAGTGAGAAAACTATGTCATATACTTAAATATATTATACTGTCATTTCCACTTAAAACTGGACAACAGATGGTTGCTTGGAAGTTACCTATTGGCTACCTAGTTTGGTGAGCTCACCTTGTCTCTGGTCTTCAGCTGCATCAGTAAATGAAGAGTTGCTGGTGTCTCTGCCTCAGTGACTGTAGCTGCTTCTGGAACTAACAGTGTGTTTTACAGGTTAGCTGCTGAACTAAGGCTGAACTTCATTGTGCAGTGATCACAGAAACACTGTTAGCTACATAAGCTACTTTAAACATGCTTACTTGCTGCACTGAATCAAATCCTGTGCTTGTGTTTGTATTACAAGTGACTGCAAACGAAGCTAATCATGTGCACTCACGTCTTTCGTCCTAATGTTTACGCACCAAAGAAGTGACATTAGCCAGAACATGTTTTGTTACTGTAGCCCTGCATATGCATAATGACAATAAAAGTTGACTTGAATTGAAATCATTTGAATAATTGCTAGTTAGCTAACCTAGCTTGCTAGCTCCCGTTACTACGATATATATACAGTTTGGCACTAATGGCTCACCCGTTTTCTGAAAGAAACAGGTCAGAATTTGCCTGTCCTCTTTTTGCCTTCTCTCTATGTGTTCCGCTCCTTTCGTTTGTGAAATCCTGATCTTGGTTTCATTTTAACCAGCTCAGAACTGGTGAACAGCCACGAACTGCCAGCAGAGACGTTATAAACGACCGCTCACAGAAATATGAGTGGCAGAGCTAACAACGCTCAACATGGCGTCTGTTTACGTAGAAAGTCCCGCCCTTCAATAAAAACAGCCAATCCGCTTGCTAGTTACGCCAGGAGGCCCCGCCCCTTTGTGTAGATCTGCAAGTTCAGCCAGAACAACCCCAAAAAAATAATCATGTTTTTGTGCTTTATTCCAAGAATGTATTCCTCCAATATTGAGCCAAATTTATGAGGTTTTTGTTAGATTTTACCAGTGATTTCAAATATGTTTTTAAACGGAATTTGACCTTCAGTTTATCGTATTTTGGTCTCTCCCCATTCAAAAAAAATAGGAGTCTGGTCTTATATGGCTGGAAATAACTGCCCAGCAGTAAACAGACTCACCTACAGAGACGTACATAGTATGTAGAAACAGAGCCGGTTTATGAGGAGCCTCTTCCTGTTTCCTCTGTTATATCAAAAACAGGACTGCTAAACGCCAGAGGGCGCCCACGAGTGAGTCCTCAATGTATGGGAGTAAATAAAGCTCAATGGCTAGAAACGCAAAAGACACTTGCCCAGAACTTAGAAATCTTAGAAAGTAGAAGGATGTATTTCACTAAAAAAGCACAGAAAACTCACCTGTATGATTCCTTTTTTCTACAGCAAACCAGTTTTGTGCAGCAGGATGTTCAGAGTTCAGGATTTTTTTTTTTATTATTAAAAAGGCTTTATAAACAATGATTTTGCTCAAATGACATTATTAATAAAAAAAAAGACTGTGAAAACAGTTTGTTGTTGCATCCACAAATGCAAGTTAAAACTTTAAAATGCAAAGAAGAAACTACATATAAACAGGATCCAGAAACACTGCCACCTTCTTTGGGCCGAAGTTTCACTTAAAATGGACTGAGGTGAAGTGGAAAAGTGCCCAGTGGTCTGACAAATCAAAATTTTAAATTCTTTTTGAAAATCATGGACGCTGTGTCCTCTGGGCTAAAGACCACTCAGCTTGTTATCAGTGCACAGTTCAAAAGCCAGTATTCATGATGGCATAGGGGTGCATTAGTGCACAAGGCATGGGTGATGTGCACATCTGTGAAGGCACCATTAATGCTGAACAATATATACATGTTTTGGCAACATATCACTGTTGTCAGAACAAAACCTCGTATCTCCATTTTTGTTGTTTTTCAGCTTCGACATGATTTGAAAATACCTTTTGCCCTTTATATTGTGTGTAAATTTCATGATGAATGGACCAACAGAAACTGCCCAAAATTACTTGGAAAAAGTCTGGTTCCATTGACTTATGATCAAATTAAAGTAGCTTTTTTACTTCTCCTGTAAAGTTGCCATTTTGGAGATATGAGGTTTTCTTCTGACAACAGCGATATGCTGCCATCCAGACGACGTCTTTTTCAGGGAAGGCCTTCATTATTTTAGCAAGACAATGTCAAACCACATTCTGCATGTATTCTGCAGCATTGTTCCATATTAAAAGAGTCTGGGTGCTAAACTGACCTGTCTGCAGTCCAGACCTCTCACCCATTAATAACATTTGGCACATTATAAAATGAAAAATACGACAAAGGAGAATCCGAACTGTTGATCAGCTGAAATCCTATATCAAACAAGAATGGGAAAACATTCACTTTAAAAACTACAGCAGTTGGTCTCCTCAGTTCCCAAACTCTTACAGATTGTTGTGAAAAGAAGAGGTGATGAAACACTGTGGTAAAGATGTCTCCGTCCCAACTCTTTTGAAACGTTGATGTTGTTGGCATCAAATTCAAAATGGGCATATATTTTTCAAAATACAAAATTTCTCAGTTTCAGCATTTGATATGTTGTCTTTGTAATATTTTCCTTTAAAAATATGGTTTACATGATTTGCATATTATTGAATCACTGCATTCTATTTTTAGTTGACATTCTGCACAGCATCCCAACTTTTTTGGAAATGGGGTTGTAGGATCAAAACTAGAACCCAAAATCAGCCTCCGATATTACTGACTTTGAATACTTCTAAACACGGCTGGTGTTAAATTTCTTTTTAGGGAAAAACAGCATAGACCAGCATGGCTGGTCACCAGCAAAACCAGCATATGTTGTGTTTTGGATGCTTGTGTGCTGGTCAACCAGCATGGTCATGCTGGGGTGACCAACTAAACCAGAACCAGACCAGCACTAGACCTGCATTAACCAGCACAGAATGCATTTTTAAGCAGGGTAGTAACTGGAAAAAAAACACTGTTCTCTTGTTGTAGACGTAGCTAACATAGTTCCCAAAATACAAACAAATTTTGTTTTACTTTTACAAATAAAGTAATTATTAGTTGTTTGTTGGACTAAAATTGGCTCACAGAATCACAGAAAAAGCTTTGAAAAAAGGGGTGTATGTCCTGCAGCACTGCTAGGCTAAGCTAAGGAAGGGCTTTGCCAAAAAAATAAATGTTTGGAGTCAACAGCTAAAAGAAGCAGAGTGATTTTTGGGCTTGTAACAGAGATTTCTGGTTTGTTACTGTGAGAGAATGGTTTTCAGAGAGTTTGCTGCAAACAGGTTCATTTATCTGCCATCAATGTTGATGCTTTTCAACAGCAAACACAGCAGCTCACGGCCTGTTGGCATTAGTTGCCAATGTCTCCATCTTGTGGTCAAATCGCGTATTACACTGTGAATGGAAACAGTCCATTATTGTACTTTAAACGCCTTTATTATTATTATTTTTACACTTTTAACCTTTACTTCGCTACCTAACGAGATTTATTGTAATTCTGACCACATTTAACTTTATCCTCATTACTTTGCTCAGCCAATAAAATGCATATTTAAAGGGCCAATGCTGTACATTTTTGTTGTATTTCATTTTTTCCCCTGAGTTTTACTTATAAGGTTTGTGTAGTTTGTATGGTGACATCACAAGAAACATGAATTCAAAACATTGCCAGTTTTGACATGCTATATGAAACTCTTTCATGTCAAAAAAACAAGGAAAAAGATTTACACTAGTTTAAGCGTAAGCTGCATGTACAGTCATGCTCTAATGTTAGTTAACATAGCTTATGTCTGTCTGTCAGTTTAGTTTTATTTTTAGTTTTAGCAGGATTTTGAAAATATAGTTATGTCATGTCACTTTTACTGAGTTCAGCTTTATGACATTGGGAAATGACATTAGTTTGGCAGCTTTAGCTGAATCTAATTTGCCTTTAGTCTGCGTTTTCTCTGAGCTTACCTGAGCAAATCTAAAGAAATACGTCAAACCAGTCAAAGCATATGGCTAAAAGTGAGTGATTATATCACTTGATTGATCATATTAAATCAAATTAAATTAACTCTTTCGGCCACATGGGACTACTGACAAACAAAACAACAGAAAACCTGAAAAAGTCTAAAAAAAAATTATATATATATATATATATATATATATATATATATATATATATATATATATATATATGGGGGTTGCTGGAGCCTATCCCATATAAATATATATATCCAAGATCATCATTTTAGACCAACCAGAACAATTTCTATGGCATTTTTCATGATCATACTAAATCTGGCTGTTGGACGTAAATGCACTAACAAAAATGTAAAACATATATCTGAGATTTTAGAATGATTTGTTACACATTTTCCCTAAATGACAAGGTACGTCTCCTGTAGGAGGCAGCAGATGGTCCTGACGGTCCTGACTGTG